TTGGTTACTATGGACATTACGTAAAATGTGAAGATATAACGGTGACTGAAGTTGAGGAAATCTTCTCGGGCTAACGGCCGTCTCCATTGGTTAAAAATTACCGTCGTTTCAGGGACCATCTCTGCCCCTTTCATGAGGGCTACTGTTATGTTGTTGTGACACCGTTTAGCATGGTGGATGGGTACAGTCGTGTCGTGTGTTGCGCGCGATGAACCGCATGTTGGGTAGAGAGGCAACGCTTCTGAACCTCGACCAGTACACTGGCGATTCTGGCGGCGGCTTTAGGTGATGTTCATCAGTCCTTCCAGACAAATGCCGGGATGGTACCTCAGATTAGACCACGGCCTCTTCCTTCCACATCCTTTCAGTTTATTATTCATTAAATCTCCATGTTAGATGCCAAGTAGTTTCATATACTAACGGCGGCATGACACAAACCACAGATAAGTGAAGAAGCAGCCTGTTAGAAGTCAGTAATCTTGAATACTATCGCCTGGAATTTCAGAAACCTAGGTTCTGCTGAAACTGATCTACATCTCACCTCTTGGAATTATTGAAATTTAGACTAATTAAATTTTCTTTCCTTGAAGCTTTAACGATATGCTTATCATAAATTTCATCCAAGCTCGGAAATCCATATACAAATCGTGAAGTCCGATAATTAGGATAAGGTAAAGGTAAAATCGGTAAGGCCGTCCATGTGCTTAACAAATTAAGCACTTTGCAATGAAGACGTACGGGGAGTGAATGTACACATCAGCTTATTCCTGACTTCGGCATTAGTTGGAGGTGAGCGGTCAGCTTCATGCCCCGGCCGTTGTACTCCCGGCGGAAGAGTTCCCTTTACGCATTGGATAGAAGGCTCGGTGGGCCCCAGAACCGGTCTCGACGACGTGGAGAGGAGCAAAATCTTGCTCAGTACCGGAACTCGAACTGCGAACCCTCGGAAATCCATCCCGTAGCCAGTCGCCATCCCATCTCGCCCGTAATTATGAACGACTGTGAATACTGTTTGTATCACTTACGTAATACTGTGTTTATTTTCAAAAATACTTGCATTAAATGGGTGTGTTCATCATATTAAGCGGTGATTTGAATTTCTATGAAGTGTGAATGGATATACTGCATCAGGTTTAATTCATAACATGATATCTGTGCATATATATTGTGTTCTGAACCGGTTCGGGCAGGTACTCATACGGGCAGACTTGTCAACATTCGCACGTCTCCTGCCGTACGGTGAGTTTCGAACATTACGCTAAGCCGAGCATGAAAGCGCCGGCGAACATTTTTTTAAGAAAACATATATGTAGGGTCTGTGTAAATATGGAATATATTTGTTTTGCATGAAATCCTAGGCTATAACAGATGAGTATAGTTGACCCACACCAGAATCAACGGTAACAGACTCTCAAACCTTCTCCTCGATAAGAACCTAGAGGAAATGTTCGAAGAACCTGCACAACATGACTGTGAACTAATAGCAGGCCTGAGCCTGCCTAATCCGAGGTGGAGAAAAGGAGAAAATTGTGAAGTTTCGAGGAATATGCCCTGATAGTGCCATTGTGTTTAAGGGAAAGCAATAGTTTGCGGTTTCGAGGGATATGCCCCGATAGTGTCATTGTGTTTAAGGGAAAGCAATTGTGAAGTTTCGAGGGATATGCGCCGATAGTGTCATTGTGTTTAAGGGAAAGCAGTTGTGAAGTTTCGAGGAATATGCCCTGATAGTGCCACTGTGTTTAGGGGAAAGCAGTAGTTCGCGGTTTCGAGGGATATGCGCCGATAGTGTCATTGTGTTTAAGGGAAAGCAATTGTGAAGTTTCGAGGGATATGCGCCGATAGTGTCATTGTGTTTAGGGAAAGCAGTCGTGAAGTTTCGAGGAATATGCCCTGATAGTGCCATTGTGTTTAAGGGAAAGCAGTAGTTTGCGGTTTCGAGGGATATGCGCCGATAGTGTCATTGTGTTTAAGGAAAAGCAATAGTTTGCGGTTTCGAGGGATATGCCCCGATAGTGTCATTGTGTTTAAGGGAAAGCAATTGTGAAGTTTCGAGGGATATGCGCCGATAGTGCCATTGTGTTTAAGTGAAAGCAAGTGTTCGGGGAAGTGTCTACCCCTACATACTTATCGTTACCTTTCAATCAGTGATAATACTGGTATCAGATGTCTCCTTTACTTACTTCCTTCCATGATATGGCGATTCATTTATCATTTCCGTCGGAAGCTCCGTTGCAAGACATCTTCCAGTGAAAGAATTCTCACGCCCGATTAGCTCTGAGAAACACAAAGAGACGAAATATATAATCGTCCGCCCAAGCATAGTTTTAGCTAAACCATTGTGTTGTTTTCATGATTGATGTTGGAAGAGTTTAATAGCAATTTATATTGTGGCTTCTGCAATACAAGAAGACGGAGGGGCGGGTCGAGGTCATCTTCACTCCCGAAGCGGATTGTGACCTGAAGCCTGAAGGGTCGATAACTCGAAATTCCGTGAGAACAATATTATCCTTATCTTCTGTTACAGTCCATCCAGCCTGTCCCTGGGGTGTGCGGCAGACAATACTTGGTCGTCGCATTGTGAACGCTCAGCCCGATATCCGCGCCGAAGAAAACCTCTTTGTGTAAAACGATCTACGTATTCTATGTGAATTACGGGCTGTATCTTCTAGAGTAGATAAGCCTCCAAGACCTCTAGAGATGAGGAGAAAGAACTGCATAGTTTTATTGTCTCTGTTTGCATTATGTTAAAATGCCTTCAACATAACGACATTTGCTGAAACTTACGCACGAAAGACGGGTACCAATAGTACTACAAGCCTTTGTACTTTTTCCACTTAGTTTGCCATCTTTTATAACTGGCTACAATTTCAGCATTTTGTCATTTCTTGATATTACTCTTCTGCCTGTTTTTATTCTGAATAACATGTGTTCACGGGTTAGCGTAGTCGGTATAGCAACTAGCGACGGGCTGGACGACCGAGGGGTCGGGGTTAGAGTCCTGGTAGGGGTAGGAATTTTCTCTTCTACACGTCGTCCAGACCGGCTCTGGGGTCCACCCAACCTCCTAACCAGTTGGTACCGGGGGCTCTTTCCCCGAAAGTAAAGCAGCCGGGACGTGAAACTGGCCACTCACCTCCAACTAGTGCCGAGGTAAAGAAAATGTGGGTCTATACATTCACTCCCTCTACGCCTTCATGGCTTAGTGCTTAGTTACGCACAGGGACAACTTTACCATACTCGTACCTTTACCTTTATGTGTTCAGATGCATGCTAACAGTAAGAAATGGTATATCTTGTAAGATTTGAGTTTTTCACGGAGGTGACTATGAAGATAGCCGTCTTCTGGGATGTAGAGCCGTGTAGATATTGTTTTAACCGACGTTTCGGAGGAATGTATCGCCTCCATTTTCAGGGTAGAAGAAAAAAGAAAATCCGCTAGCGAGGAACCAGCGTGAGCACGTGCTGACAGACTAGTCAGCCAACTAATCTTCAGTATCTTCTCACGGTGTTCCTCGCTTGCGGATTTTCTTTTTTCTTCTACCCTGAAAATGGAGGTGATACGTTCTTCCGAAACGTCGGTTAAAACAATATCTACACGGCCCCACATCCCAGAAGACGGCTTTCTTAATTGTATATCTTCTTGATCTGAATCCTTATGCTGCCATGTAAGTTCATTTCTATTATATTCCTTAATTATTTTTATTGCTCATCCTAATATATGTGTGGGCCTTTTGCGATAATGACGTAAGTAGACGAAGGATCGCAAGGCAGTAAAATAATAAATTTGTGTCCAAAATTCCACCACCCGTCTTAAGTGGCTTGTTATACTGTTTGATTCCCTCAGCGACAATCTGCGCATTAGTGTTTCCAGAGTATGACTTACATCAGAGTCTGTCCCTGCCGTTACCTTTCTAATTTTGCTATTAAATATATTTATATATTCACATTATTCTTATTGTACCACTCATCTGTATTGATACAACCAAGTCACAGCGGTTTATGAAATAATTTTGTTCAATTGTGATTCGGTGTCAGCGAAACGCCCCATGGATTTCCTGAATTACGTGAATGAAAATACTTAATTCTTACAAATGTTGATTTCAGTTGAGGCTGCACTGAGATTACAATAGGCCACCCTTCACGTTACTGCCACGTAAACAGTTTACGTAAAGAATATTTATACGGTATAATCATAATTTGTGGAGATCCTTAGGACATTATTGCTCTGTATAATGGAACACAAATAAGAAACACGTTTATCTCTTTAAGATTTTTTTTTGCTCTCTCGAACTTGAATACTTTATTTACTTTCATTTACTTCTACTCTTATTTATTACAAAGGTAAAAATATGTAAAATTGTCCCTGCGCTTAACTGATTAAGCAGAACGCCATGAAGGCGTATGAGGGAGTGGATGTATAGATCCACATTTTCTTGACCTCGTCACTAGTTGGAGGTGAGTGGTCAGCTTCATGCCCCGGCACCTTTACCCCCGGGGAAGAACTTCCGGTACCCATTGGATGGGAGGCTGGGTGGACCAAAAGAGCCGATCTGGACGACATGGAGAGTGAAAATTCTTGACCCTACTGGGACTCGAACTCCGACCCCTCGGTCGTCCAGTCCGTAGCTAGTCGCTATACCGACTACGCTATCCCGGCTCCTCTAAACAATAATGACTTCTCATTTACTTTTCTTGGTTCTCTGTTTAATTAAAGTGAAGGAGTATTTCGTAAGTGTTATGCAGGAGCTGGTGACAAGAGTCTCACGTTGAATTTCATCGTGCTGCCAAGAGTAACACTATGAGATTTCTTCTAGACAGTCTTTATTTCATGTCTTTAGTTCAATTCTGATATTCAGCAGTTGCATAACGTTTGCCACGTGTTTCCATTGCCTTCTTAGATTTAAAGCTGATAGTATTACGTTAAATATGAATACGGCTCTGTGGGAACAAACCACCGAGCTGATAATCCAATTAACGTATTTTCATTCTTGTTTGTACAGCACACCCTCACTGGCCACTCCGGAAAGGTAATGGCTGCTAAGTTCCTGGGAGAACCGTCCAAAGTCGTCTCCGGCAGCCACGACCGTACGCTTAAAATTTGGGACCTGAGAAGTAAAGCATGTGAGTTAAGTTTCATTAATTTCCCTCATTTTTCTACTTATCTATGCCGCTCCTGTTGGGCTGTCTCGAGAATGAAGCCCGCGACAATATTCCGTTGTAGAGTAAATAGAGGTACTCTTCGGGATTTCTGTTCGGGGATATCCAGTTCGAATGTCGGTCACGATACCTTCTTCCAGGACCGAAGATATTCGAAGATTTTATAATTCGTTCCAGGTGAATGCTGAGACAGGAAATTTAGTAGCCCCTTGACCTCTGATTTAAATTCGTATGTGATTATGTTCCTACGTCAGTGAATACTGATCACCCCTGGAACTGCTGCAGCTCGTTCAGGAAGCTAAGCACCAATGGTAGAGCCAGTCTCATTGCACCGGTAGGAAGAAGTCACTGCTGTTTCCTAGGCGTACCTAAAGGCATGAAGCAAGAGATAAGGCCATCCTTTATGTTATCAGGAGACTGCGAAGTGCTGGATGAGTTGACAAGAAGTGCATAGGCTTGCGCGATTTTAGTACTGAAATTTCTTGGAAACCCTACAGTTAATAGACGAGGAAGTTTGAAGCTAAAAGTTGTTATGGAGAAGGAAGATGGATTGAACTAGCTGAAGATCTGTCGTGCTAATGGTTTTGCTGATAGGCTTAATTAGTTAGAACTTTTCGTTAATCATTTTGTGCAATATTATACTCGTTCTATCATTGTAAACATAAGGACAATTGCTATAATTTTGTAACTGTTTCTAAAAACACAGGTCTCACAGTTCCTTTGCGCAAGTAAAGTGTCAGTTGACTTGCCATCAGTATTATAATGTTCTGTAATATAACTACTTGTGATTTGATAAGTATGTTTCAATGCTTCGGATAAACCTGCTGCCTCCATCTTCAGGTTTATTTCCTCTGAAGAAGGAGATAAAAATTGTCTCCAGAATGTTGGTGCTTATCTGCTACACTGCATGGCGTTATGTCTCAGAACGACAGTATATTGAACGTGGAGGATCTAACTCCATGCAACTGAGCTCTTCTTGAGGAGCCACCTACATCCCAGAAGACTGCAACATATATTATTCGCCTTGAGAACCTAAAATCTGAATTTACCGTTATGTAGTCTAATGCTCTTATGTTATGCATAATTAATTTGTTAATTAATGAGGCTAATGCATAAAGAGGAAATTATGTCTGTCAGTCCGTCCGTCTGCATGTTTCAACTCAGAAATATACGTTAAACGTTTCGGGGCGTGTTTAATTTTGGTATTACACCGACTCGATATGATCCCTTTTTACACGAACCTCAAATCGAATTTTTTCCAACCTCCTAACCCTTTAAAAGGCAATGGTTACTATACGTATTTACTATGAGTGATGGTACACTATTTATATGGGGAAACAATTGAAATTAGTGTTTTATAAGCGTTTGTTAAAAAGTAAAGTAAAGTAAAGTAAAGCTATCCCTGTAACAGGCCGTGAAGGCCCATAGGGTTGTGAGACGTTGAGGGTCTCACATTATCTAGACAATCGGCTCACAGATGGCGGTAAGGTTGTCAGCCTTACGCCCCGGCCCCATTTTACTCCCCAGGAAAATTATTTAATTAATTCATTAAGAACGTAAATTATTTTAAAATAGTGTTTAATTTTATTTATATTACAGATATTGTTTGACGTAATGTATAATAGGTTGGTTATTCATTTTATAAAGACACAGTCATACGAAATACATGGGAGTTACTTTTTCTCTGAACGCTTGGACAGATATGAACTCGATCTCCAGGTAAGGGTGGAGATGCCAACGGGAATCAGCAAGAGAGAATCTTCACATGATGTGCGAGCTACATCTGATAATGCGTTACGCCATATTGTTTGTGGAAGGAGGATGTGGACAAGAAGAGATAATGCTTCAATGCAAAGTTTCAGACACTGTACGATCCCTGCAGATGACATAAAATGTCCCGTAACATTTCCTGTCACAGACGAAGTGTTGATGGCAAAGAAACAAAAAAAAAAAAACATCAAAAGGGTGGGGGATGCTTTAAAAACAGTTTTGGATAAAGGTTTGGGCCATTGTCGGTCACATCTATATTGTCCACTATATCTGTGAAGTTTATATCACTCTTAGTGTCCTAGAATGTAACGTACCGGTAACAATAGACGGTGTTGATTGACATTTGATTGATCATTGCAGTAGGCTTCGGTATACAGGACCCAGAGGTCAGTGGACAAAGCAGCCATCACTGTCAATAAACCATTTACTGAAATGACACACAAAAAATCGACGTTGAAGTAGATGGATGATTGTAGCTAGGCAAAATGTCTTAAAAGTTGGGCGAAGTGTGACTTTCAGGTCAGTTACACAGTTCTGCCCTTAGCTAGCATACATGTTGCCTGCAGGTTGTGTTGTTCGGTATATGACAAGGCCCAAGTTCCTGCTCTTCCTCACTTAAATAGATATTCGCCGTCCTTGTGTCTAGACACACAAACAGTCCTCTCTGTCCCATAAATAAGTCATTACACCCTGAAGAGAAGAGTCAACTTGGGGGAATTAGGCGTAGATAGAAGGATAATATTAAAATTGAGCTTAAAGAGATTGGATGTTACTGTTTGTACTGGCTCAGGATAGGGATCAATCGCGTGTACTTATGAAAACTGTAATAAACGGCCGGGTCGAATGAACAGAACAAAATGCAGAATAGGATAATATTAAAATTGATCTTAAAGAAATTGGATATTAGAGTACTGTTTGTACTGGCTCAGGATAGGGACCAATAGCGTACTCATATGAACACTGTAATAAACGGCCGGGTCGAGTGAACACAACAAAACTGTAGACAGCTAGCGTGTAGTTTGAAAGCTTTGTGTACTGTCAACGTGACATTGTTGCTGTAATTCAAGAGTGTGTTTTGGTAGCCGGTTATACCCTGTGAATGAATTTTGAGTCGGGTTAAGCGAAACCAGTACGTGAAGAACCCGCAAGCTCTCGCGAGGCGCTGTTCATCGCCGTATCACAGAACAATGGACACTGGACGTTCCGACGTTAACGCGGCTCCTTGCTGCCAAATTATAACATTTCCTCAGGCACGGGATTCCGAAACGAACGCGCTTTTCTTCATTATGTTTAGGAAAGAAATTCCATTCTTCTTGCAACTTAGCGTGTTTTTCAAGTAAGTTTATGATGTAGAAGGTTTCCCCGGTATATTTTGTACAGTTAAATAAAATGAGAACTTTCATCGTATGGGACTAGATGCTTGTCCATCCACGCAAGATCAACGGTATATGGAGCACGTATTGGAACGGAGACTGATTTTTGAGCTCAACCTTGTCATTTCCGGCCTACTGTGTAATACGGTCACACATAATGGAACTCTGTTAAGAGATGGGGACCGCCTCTGTGGTCTAGTGGTTAGAGTTCCTGGGTTCGATTCCCCACGCTACCAGATTTTATGAGAAGTAGTGGGTCTGGAACGGGGTCCACTCAGCCTCATGAGGATAATTGAGAAATTAACCGCATTAACGGCCTTGGGGATTCGTTGCGTTGACCACGCGACACCCTCTATCCGCAGAAATTGGCACTAACTTCGCCGACAAGAGGCGGTAGTTCGGTCGGTATAGTTCGCTTGCGGACTAAAACCGTGGAGTTTTTTTGTTAAGAGATGGGCCATAATATGAAACTAGAGCGGTACCTCTCGCTTAAAGCGAGGAAACCGCCATATTAGTCATTAAAATCGTAGCCGCCTAGAATTAGAGTCATATTTTAATCGTTTGTTTCAATTTTGATTTGGAGCTTGTAATTCTTTTATGGGGTATGGAGCAGGAAATCTGAGTACGAGACAATTTCTATCACCATAAGTCAGGTCCAGAGGGGTCCAGCCGGTTGGAGTAGATCCAGGGGTTGATGGCTTCCATGTGTGGAAATTGAGTACTTAGGATAAAATGACTTTCGCTAGTTTTAAGCAATAGAGATGCACACATTTCATATAAGGGCGAGGAACTCAGTTTTAATCCAGCCAGTTGGAAATGAGAGACTTGTGTAAGCGTCGGACGCCACTTCTTGGAGAGCTGATGCGTCGCTGGTACAAGTGACCTCGTGAGGCTTTTTGTTTCAACTTCCCAAATTAAAGGACTTGTTCGACCACTCCGGGAAATTCTTTATAATTAATAATACCCGTCTGTTGGTTAAATGACGCGAACTAGAAACTGCTCAACATCACACCATTACGCCTCATCACTTCTGCGACTTAAGTAATTCGTGTTGAAAGTGTATAAACTGGTGACGTATAATAAATACACTTTATTATCAAAATGAATCATTGTGACTTGTATGGTGCATGGCCGGTGTGTTTCCCCGTTAATACGACCTTCGAGACAGAGTCAAATCACTACCAGCTGAGTTACCTAACCTAGTAAATCCCATAATCATAATAATCTACACTGAAATATTACTCCATCCTCAACGCCGCCCAGGCAGGAGATCGGGTTGACTTGGCCGGTTGTAATACGTCATTTCCTATGGTCCTTCCATAGCTCAGGCGGTCAGTCGTCGGCTTCCCTTCGCGGCACCCTGGATTCAATGCAAGGTCAGTTCATGTGGGATTTGTGGTGGACAGAGTGGCACTGGGGCAGGTTCCCCCGACTGCTTCAGTTTCCCCTGCCAAGTTTTATTCCACAGACTATGCCACTTCATCATCTGTCATCCTTGGCTGAAATAGTGGCCAACGTACCAAATGGTCTCAGTCTCACCCCACCACAAGTAATTAAAATGAACATTAATAAGATGCTGCTAAGTTATTTTAACTGGCCAGCTTAGTCGATCTGCACTAGAATCAAACTGAGAGGGACTTCTCAACCTGCTGGAATTTACCGTGATAATTGTTAAATATAGTACCTACTTTTAATGGAGCGTCTTAAAGACACACCATTTGAGATCACACAAACCCGTTAAAAAATAAACACATATGTCACCACCATCTCTGGGGTAGAAGAGAACCAAGAAATCAGCAAGAAACAACAAACAAGCAGCAA